CTGGAGCACCGGTAAAGTTTTGATATGACGCATGGGGCTGCAAATCAATCGGTGCAAGGTCACGAGTCTGCTTGTTAGGAGACGAGAGTTCAGGAAGATGATAGAAGTCCGACGTTTCCCAAGACTTTGACTCGGGTGATGATGGGCTATCCAGGTTGCGAAAAAGACCTGGCAGATCGTGGCTGAATGGCTCATCTAGGCGAAGGCTATCCGGTAAGACAACCTTCTTCTGGGCACTGGTCGCAACAGGGTTGAGTTCGAGCCCTGTAAACAGGTTTGGTATGACCGAGGCGAGAAGAAACGGGACTTCTTCTGTATCGGAAGTCAATTGCTCGGCTGCTAGGCGGAGGACTTCTAGGAACTCGATGGCTCGCTCTTGGACATCCAAATCAGGATGGGGCGCCAAAGCTTCGAGGAACTCAACGACTCGAGCAAGTAAAAGCGACATCTCACTTTTCCAAAGATCCCCTGGTTTGCTGGTCTGGCTAACCTGAACAAACACCTTTGGAATGGCTTGTAAAAACAGGGGAAGAGTACTGGAGGGAAGCGATGCATTAGAGATGTCAATCAATGACAGTAGTGTCCGACTAGGCGACAGCAGATATTCAGCGTATTCACCAACAACCCAGGCGATAGGGCCTAAAACACCATCTCCAATAGTTGAACCGGAAGGGAAGAAAGTTGATCTGTTGTCGACGAACATAAGAGACTCGGCTGCTCTTGTGGCCTCCATGCGCACACCTTTTACCCTTACAGCAACATTTCGAATCTCTGTCCCTATTCGAAGCGCCGCGTTCATCCTCAAATTAGGTATAGCCTCTTGCTCTTTCGGATGACCCCAGTCGTCTTCACTCTCCGACGGTGGGAGAAGTCCGACTAGTTGGACTAGCACAGCGACATACCACTCAAAGTCAACAACTTCAGAGTAGTTCTTTTGAGAACAAAGATCCAGGATCCGGTGAACTACTTCAGTCTGGTAGTCGTTGGGCCATAAGGTTGGGGCTTTGGGGCTTTCGGGCGTATCGACCAATTCAGCTGCAGGGACAGAGGCTTGTTGCAGCTGATCTAACAGACGGTTCACGACTGACTGGAGAGAATCGCTGGTAACTATTCCAACGGCAAGGTCTAAAGCCTGCAATCGGATAGAAACGTCCGCATCCTCTAGACAATCCATAATGACGTCCTGCTGCATGGAAACCAACGTTGGGTGCGTGGCAACAATACGGTTCAATGCAAGAAGTGCGACATATTTGACTGCCTCGATGGTCAGTGATCGTATATTGAAACGCAATGAAAGGATACTCACGATTAGGGTCACTATCCATAACTATCATACCCCGCAATTTCCCCACGCAAAGAGTGGCGACTTCGTCCCTTTCCTGGAGATTCTCTTCGCCGTCCAAGATGCCCCCTTGGATGATGCCATTGATACATTCATAGAGCAGAGACATTGCAGAGGTGGTTTGAATGATATTTGTCAATGGACGCAGGAGTTTGCGAGTCAATCTTGGCTCTAGCGGGGTTAATGTTGCAAACTAGAAAAGTCAGAGCGTTCTCAGAAGACAGTCATTACATGGGGTTGGGGGGATAGGGGACTAACAAGTTTGATAATTTTGATAGCCATCCAATTATTGCCGCTATCAACCAGAAGCTCAAAGAATCGAGGTGCCAGAGGGAGGAAGTCATGAGGTCGTCGCCAACCAAGCTCACAAACAACGTTGATCGCCGCAGTAGTGACACTACCATCTTCTTGATCGTCCATCAAATGGTCTTTTATCTTGGGCCATGCCAACTTCAGGGCCTCGGGATACACCAAAGCAAGCCTATAAAGACAGACAATCGTTTTTTTGCGCACCACAGGGCTTGAGTGTGAAAGTCGGGAGAGTAGATCGGGAAGTAGCGACATTGCTAGGGAAGGTGTAATGATGTGCGGCAAAGTAATCAGAGGAAGTGACATGTTGGGAATACTGGAGGTGACAATATCCTGTGAAGATTATTAGCGACTAGAGGGGAATTTGAAGCCACGCAAAGTACCAACCTTCTTCAGCAAGTTGGTTGCCAGCATCAGAACTTCGGTGTCTGGGCGAAAGCTCTGTACTGCTCCGAGATACCCGACTCTTTTCTGGAGGTATTTGGCGGATGACATGACTTCCAGAACGTGAAAAGAGGCCCATGACATGTCATACCCAAACATTTCAAGATAGATGAGCTTCAAGAGGGCTGTGGCCTTTTTGTCTACTTATAGATCAGCACCAAGTTCATTGCCGGGTGAATAGGTGGAAGTGAGTACCCATGTCTTGTGTTTTGATCTCGGCCTTGCATTCACGCAATGAACTCTGAATGTATTCATTTTCACCTCCCTTATGACCCCGTAGGCCTTTGATGAGGTCATAAAGCGACTTTTCGAACCTAGGGTACTAGAAATGAGCCTTGGCCAATTGAGAACAGAAACATGAGGGTACCCACATCGTGTCGGAGCTATCAATCGTCACGAGCTGGAGTCAAGAGAAGAACAATAATGAAGCCCCCTAGTAAGACTGGAAGTACATTAATAATTGGGCAGTCAGATCAGCCATAATTCAGAACGAGAATGAAAGGTGTTAGTGCAAGCAATCCGAGCTCCGCGGGGTGGAGAGTTGGCGTTTGGGGATCCTCGATAAGAGATCGGATCACGGGACTGTGGCCAATTAAGCTCCGGTGCACTCTGTTCTCTCAACATCCGTTTTAATTAGATCACCCCTGGTCTTGAATAGCGTTTCTCTTTTTTGTAAAAAAAGGGCTATTATTCTTGACAGTCTATTATGGCTGGTCCCGTTGCTGATATCCGCGAGATCAGCGGATCGGATCTGATCTCTGCTCTTCATCTTGCCCAACAAGCACCAGCAATCCTTGGCCAGGAATCTGGGTCTGGGGTTACCTCATCCAATTCTTCAGAAACTGCAGATTACTATGCACGACTAGAGCAGCTTCTGTTGGCCTGTCTTCGGACGGGAGATGACGAGTCAGCACATACCTGCCTGAATCGCCTCAGCCTCCGGTTTGGACCCTCTAATGAAAGGATTATGGGGCTTAGAGGCCTTTACGAGGAGGCAACCGCCAAGGATCAGTCGGCGCTAGAAAAATGCCTGCAGGAATACGACAACACCCTGTCACAGAGTCCAGTGAATGTGGTCAGTATTGGTTGCAGGTCTGTGGTTATGGGTTATGCAAGACTAACCATACATACAGCCCATCCTAAAGCGCCGGGTAGCGTTGTTACGCTCACTCAATCGGCCATCTGACGCAATCTCTGGTCTTATTCAACTCCTCGATGCCATCCCTACCGATGCCGAAGCTTGGTGTGAACTAGCCGACTTGTATCAATCACAGGGGTTGGGTTCCCAAGCCATTTTTAGCCTTGAGGAGGCTTTACTCATTGCTCCTAACTCTTGGAATGTATGCATGCACCTTTTTTTTATCTTTTTTTCTTCACTTATTATCATCACTAACATGAAAATGTAAGATTCATTCCCGCCTCGGTGAACTGCTATACATCTGCGCCTCCGAAGGGGACGCATCCCGGCTCCTTGGGAGGTCGGTGCAGCACTTCAGTCGAAGCATTGAACTTTGTGACGACTACCTACGAGGATTCTATGGATTAACTTTGGTAAGTCGGCAAATAACGATATTGACTCATTTCTATTCTAACCCAGGTTTTCCCCTGTAGGCCTCAACTCGGATGCTTGACAATGATTACGCAGGCGTATCAGGTCAGCTTTCCAAGAAGACCCTAGAACGATTGAAGGCCTTTGCGCTCCTAAAGTTGGGCGAAATTGTTGAGTCACGGTCGATCGATGACCAACATTGGGCATCGAGTCGAAGTGAGCTGATTGCAGCCAAGGAACTGCTGAATCGCCAGTGAAGTAATATTCAGGCGGCTTAAAACCAAGCCTCCTTTTGATTTGACAGGAATACCCTAATAAAAAACCCCCCCCAATATGTCTAGAGTGTTCCATTAAAATGTATGGAGTCAGATATGGAGTAAGTGGATAAGAGGAGTATAGAGAGAGAGAGAGGGATATTGGGCATTTTCGTTTGGGCAGAAGAAAAGTGTTTTAAAAAATAACACACACAAAAAATGCCCAACGGGCCTAATAAAGGTTCATCTATTTGAGAAACTAAAAAAGGACTCTTCTTTCTTTAAATAATTTTTTTTTTCTTTTCTGTATAGTTATATACCCTGGAATTGGTTGTTTTTCTATCTACATTGTATACTCTTCTACTGTATACCCCTACTTTCCTATCCCTCTATCAAAGAAGGGGATATCTATCTTTTTGGTTTTTCTTCCTAATTCTTTTATCCTTCTTTTGATTCTACTCTATTCAACGAGATCAGATCAAAAGAGAAAGAGACGAAAAGAAGAAAAGAAGGGGGGGGAAAAGAAGAGAAAAATAGTCCATGCGCAACCAAACCCCCCGCGATCATTTTGACCTCTGACATATTTCCTCTCCCATCCTTCTCTGGTCAATCCCTACTTGGGTATTCCCTCCTCACTTCGCGCATGCGAGAGAGTGAGAGGATCTATTTCTCTTTTATATTCCCCGAGGTTTCTCATTGTCTCTATGACGTATGTTGTTTGGCTTTTGTTTTCCCTTTTTTTTCTTTCCCTATATCCCTATATCCCTCTATCCCTCTCTATCCCCCCCTCCCCCTTCTTTAACAAAACTCTCTTTCTCACCCTTACTTTCTCTCTCTCTACAGGCTCAGTATCTCGATTGATCCAGACCCCCACGGTTCGGATCGTTCTTATTCCGACGACGAGGGCTCGTCTGGTGTCCATGTACCTACATCTTCCGAGTTAGAAAGTCATGAGTACCTGGATCATGATGAGTGGGCACATTTGCCATATCCGGATGAATTGAAACCATCTGATTCAGCCTCTCGACCAAGAACTTCGCACCGCAGTCGTCCGCCCCACGGTTCACGCTCCGCTTCGGGCCATCGCCCAACATCGCGACGTATGGTTCAAGAACATAAGTCGTTCGCCCCTCGAGGCCGAAGACAACAATCACCAGATTCCCCCGATAGTGCCGATTCCGCCGACGAGTACCCCCCCACTTTTGGTCGAAATGATCGGAGGGGTTGGCAACAACCTATGCCACCTGCCCCTGGATACGCTCCCAGCCAGTCCTCTGGTCCATCTTACACTCCCTACCCTCCTCCCCCGGGCCATGGCCCGTATGTTCACCACAATCCTCCCCCGATTACATCGGAACTCATGAGAATTCCTCACCCGGGCCAACCCAACCCCTACGGTGCTCCTCCGCCTTATGGATACCCACCTCAATTCCAACCTGGGTCTCATTTTCTTTCCGATCAATCCCAACTACATCCACGACATGTGCCTCGCCAGCCGCCTCAAATGCACAATCCAATGCACAATCCAATGCAGCCGCCAATGCAACCGCCAATGCAACCCCCAATGCCAATGCCCCACGCGATGGGCCCTCACGGTCCCCACTCCCCTTACCCTGGATATCCCCACGAGTTGATGGCCTACGGCCAGACCGGTTTCTATCGAGATCAACCCAGCTATTTCGGGGGACCGATCCCGGGCATGATGCCTCCTCATTATTGGCCACCCTACCCCCCAGTGCCTTCTCCTCCGGCGCAACCCAAACCTAAAACCCCCCCACCCCCAACTCCTGCTCCCGAACCTGCTCCAGCTCCAGCTCCGGCTCCAGCCCCGGCCCCTGAACCTGCTCCGCCTCCGCCTCCACCTCCACCTCCACCTCCGCCAGTCGACACTGCCAAAGATGAGCAAATTGCGAGGCTAGAGAAGTTGATTCTGGACGACCGTCTAGACCGCGAAGCGAAAGAGCTTGCCAAAAAGCAGGCTATTGAACGCGCCGCCGCCGAGAAAGCAGCTCAGGATGCACAAACCGCGCATGATAGGAAGATTACCCAGGAAGCTGCGGCGCTTGCTCGAGCGGATGCCGAAAAAAAGGCAGCAGAGGATGCCGCAAAGGCCAAGGAGGAGGCGGAGAAAGCCGCCGCAAAGGCCAAGGAGGAGGCGGATAAAGCCGCTGCAAAGGCCAAGGAGGAGGCGGATAAAGCCACCGCCATGGCTGCTGCTGAGGCTGCAGCTGCAGCAACTGCCGCGGCCAATGAAGCAGCTGCCAAAGCGGCCGCAGCGGCTGCTGAAGCGGCTGCTAAGGCCGCCGAACCGCCGCCACCACCACCTCCTCCAGAAAAGAAGCAGCCTATCAAATTCAAGGATGCTGTTGGGAGAAAATTCAGTTTTCCATTTGAACTATGTGCTACCTGGCAGGTACGTCAACCCCTCGCTCCATTTATATGGTTTTCTTGTTCTAACTTCGGTTACAGGGGATGGAAGAGCTCATCCGGCAGGCTTTCCTCCATATTGAGGTCATTGGACCTCATGTGGCCGAGGGCCATTATGATCTTATTGGCCCGAATGGCGACATTATCCTCCCACAGGTTTGGGAAACTGTGGTCGAGCCTGATTGGGCTATCACTATGCACATGTGGCCAATTCCCGAGAAGCCAAAGGAGGACCCCCCTCCTCCTCCTCCCCCTGCGCCAGAGCCTGCCCCGGTAAAACCTGCCGATCCACCCGCCGAGCCGAAGAAAAAAGCAGATGGTAAGAATGTCGCTTTCAAATACTCTCAGAGACATACGCTTACCTTGTCTCTAGGCCCTAAAAAGGCTAAGGCCCGAGGACCAGATGTCCCAGGAAGTTTCGCGATGTGGATGTTAGGTGGCACCAATCGCCGGGGGGGTAAAGGGGGTCCTAAAGTGGAAAAAAAGCCTGATGCCCCTCCCCCAGCACCCGCACCATAAAAAATTGATTCCCGCCCATTGCCCTGTTTAGGTTGAGGTGATGATTCGATTGTTTTCAGGTCGCTTTTGGCCACTATACCCATAGACCTTTTGGGCAATGGAGAGGCATGAACATTGCTTTGCTAATATCGCTTTGGAAAATGATGACGAATATGATCAATGCCTGTAGTATGTTATATGACATCAACTTTGGATTACGCCGGAGCCTGATAATAACTAAAATATGTCTTTTTGAGCTTCCACATTTGTTAAAGTGTCATTCGATGTAGCCATATATAAGATAGAGTGTCATAGGTGGAAGAATAAGTCACCCTTGGTGAAAAGATTAGACTGCGCCAAAACTGTTAGTAGCTATAATCGAATCACTGCGCTTTACTAGAGTAGAGATCCTACTACATAGTAGAAGTGACTTGATTGGTGTGGGTTGTTATTACATAGGGGTTCAAAAGTATCTTCCCACTTTGCCCCACTATAATCACCCCAACAACCACCCACCATTTTATTTTTCTTCCTACACCCCCCCAAGTCATCAAATCCAAATGCAAATAGGCTCTAGGCCTACAAAATTAGCTGAATTAAGCCCAGTACAAAGGCCAGCTATTATATTTGGCCATAAGAATAGGATTTCGCAGTCAAAACTAGCTAATGATTTTGGTTGCAGCCGCAGGACTATTTACAATACACTTAAGCGCTTCGAAGAGCACCAATCTATCAAATCCCTCCCCCAAAAGGGCCGTCCCTAAATCCTAAGCCGTCGATCTTGCTATTACCTATATCTTTAGGCCCACCGGTACCCGTTTTAGACCTATAAATAGCTTAGTTCGACAGTACCTAAATACCTATCAAACTTAACTATACAGCGAATCTTTAAGTAATTTAGCCTCTTAAGGTATCTTATAAAAAGGAAGATACTAATTAGAAAGGCCCTTGCTAGGAAGCGCCTTCGATATACTCAAAAATGGTAGCGCGAAAGCTTCCAGAGGTAGATCTTTTTAGACAAGTATTTAGTATAACAAACCTTAAATATTAGACCACAATAGTACTTCCGTTTTTAGCCAGAGGGCTTCCGCTATAATCTAATAAATATTAAGGCCTATATAAAAGATATCTTATAGATAGTTTAGAGTAGAATCTAGGTTAAAGGTTATATACTGTTAATAATTATAGAGCAGGATAAAGATTCACCTTCTAAGAGAGGTTATACTATAAAGTTATATATATTAGCGCTTAAAAAAGGTCTAGTCCCTTTCTATACCCCCTAAACTACCTTTTAGCAAGATAACGTAAGGATTTATACAGCAAAGGAGATATAGGAGTGGTTTAAAACGTATAAGATTTACATTAAGGATTAGCCTCTACACTTACCTGATTTAAACCTAATTGAACTGGTATAGTAGTAGTTAAAATTGACACTTTTTAGGCTCTTTCTAGAGCTTATTAAGATAGGAAGAAGCCTATCTGACTAGTAGTATTTTAAAGAGTGCCTAGTTAAGGCCTAGGAGGCGATTCCGTAGGTGAAGATTGATAGATTAATATTAAGTATAGGGAGACGTTTGGTAGCAGTGCGTAGGGCGAAGGGGTATTATACAAAATATTAAGCGAGAATTCAATTATGCGGTTATCAATTATTAATATGTTTTTTACTGAATTAAATTAGCTTATTATATGGTTGTGTAGTGCTGTACAATGCAGATATATATATTTGATAGGGGTAGCCGAAAAATGGAGTGGGAAGATACTTTTGACTAGTGTCTGTACTAACTCTAGAGGAAAGGGAACTAACTAACGTATTTCACTACCGAGCTGCGCACCCCACCCAACCTACTAATTTCAAATGTATACAACTCAACCAAAACTCCATTGAATTAAATACAGTGAAATCATCCATCTAGCTAGGCATATATTAATCTTATATCCTATTTCTCCACAACTACTACATTTTGGCGGGGCCCGCGTACGTGGCTGTAAAGCAGGCGAAGGGCTTCTTTGTGGAGGGGAGGGAGGAGTAGACTTCCGCAAAGCCCAACTTTGGGCCTAAGGTCCGGGCTCAAAACCCAACCCGTAACGAGCTGGGGGTCGAACTTTTTAAGCTTGACCCGGACCCCGGC